AAGAAAACTAGTAACAACAAGGAAGGCAGTAACAAGAATGCGGACTCTGACAACAAATGCAGGGTTCCTCAGTACTCACTCTTCTCATTCTGCTTTGGTATCATTTGGAAAACAAGCAGCATCACAAGAAAAAATTCTAGCAAGTTAAGTAAATTCTCAACATCTTCAAAACAAGACTGTTCTGCCAACTTATTATCAAGGCTTTCAGGACATTTTTTCATCAGTTCCAGAATATATGTGCTAGTAGCCAAGATTTGCAAGGAAGATTTTTTTCAATCTAAACAACAGCAAAAAAAGCTCTGTAATTTAAGTATAGCCAAAGAAAGGGAAATGTAAACTGCTGGCAAATGTATTTGCTAACAACTTGGAGGTTTTTCCATTTTTAAAATGTATCTGTTTTTTTTTAATAACTCCTCAATGAAGTTTCAATGTCTTTCATTGGTGATTTTAATCAATAGTTCCTTAAAAAATAAGAGGTAATCAGAAGAGTTTTTAAAAGTATGAAGTGAACTCTGCCACAGACAGCAGTATTGAGTGCAGTACAGCAATTACCTTTAAGTTCAGAAATGAATGTAACTTTCTATTGAAAGCCATATCTGGCATATCCTTTTCATATGTTTAGTATTGTTGTGTTGCATCTCCATGTTGGCATTGCAGATGCAGTATCTACTCATAGCTTGTGTGCTTAGAGAAGTAAAGAGCTATCAGGTCACAAATAGCTGAATTCACATCTTCTCTGTGAGAATACTGGTGAGTGCAGAATAACTTAGTGACCTATAGTGACCTATAGTACTGTTATGTATGTTTGCTTTTGCTGATAGTCATAATAGGATAGAAGAGTTGTCAGATAGGTAAAAACCTGATATTGCAGTACCAGTGTTGAAGGGGGGTTAATAGACAGGGGAACATTGTGTAAGTACATGTTTTAGGCAAGTAACTTGCAACCAGTCGTGGGTGGGGATGAGGGAGAACAAAGTTGAGGAAGTGAAGTGATAATTCTGGATTGGGGCCAAGGCTAACATAGTTCAGAATCTATTTCATTTCCCACCACTAAGGGTTGAGAAAATAAAACAGAATATGGTTATATGAACTGCCAGATTAGGCTCAGGAAGACTGGAGTGTTTTGTTTGTACATAAGTGAGGGAGAGAAAGGTCGGGTTGTGTTGGCTAGTCAATAAATCATCCCACACAAGCTAGGGAAGACTCACTTGGGTAAAAAACCATATGGAATCTGATTTGAAAATCATTAGTCAAGATGAAGCTGAAGAAGTTTCAATATCTCGAATCTGCTCATATTATAATGATCAGCAACCCTTTTATTCTGTGATAAAGAACTGAGAAACAGAATGTGAGCTAGCCTGAGCTTCATATTTCTCACAACCAGGTCAGTATTTGCCATGCAGTAATAATACAGTTATTTGACTAATTATCTATTTATCTGATTGACTAAGAGTATGTAACACTCTGAAATGTTTCAGAAATAAAGTTTTCCAGATATAACTTAACACTGTCTTGTTAGAAAGGAAACAGCCAACTATTGGATACCCCGCTCCGCAGCACCCCGCAGGAAAGCACCACACGCAGGCAGGTCCAGGTTTCTTCTTTATTCAGCCTTCTGATTTCAAGCTCTCTTAGATATAGTGATTTAACAGCTCCTTCTTCTGTAGTGATATTCAGCTCTTCTCTCTGTCTCCCTTAGTGATTGCAGCTGTCACCTCCCTAGCTCTCCTCCCCCCAGCAACTAGCATGCTTTATATATACTTTTCTTATCTTTCCCGGGTTTTGAGAACACACCAATCAAACAKGYCYCAGCCAGATCACATGGCCATGTCCAGCTAGAGTCTGCCTGTTTTGACCATGTCTGAGGCCAGGCTGTTTTCCAGCCCAACCCCCAGACACAGCTCTAAAAATGGCTACGGCCACGGCAGCCAACCCTTTCGACTGTGTTTTCTATGCAAACTAGAAACTGCTATGGAAGCTCATGCAGTAAGCTGAGTTCTCAAATGGATTGCATAGTCATAGAGAAGCACTGCTCACTGAAAGCGTGATCTCACATCAGCGAGAAGTGGTATCTGCAATTTCYGTAAGCCCTGAGTTGCACTGCTGTTCTCTCTTCGTAAGATAAGACAGCACCGACCCTTCAGCCTCCTGGAACGGTGTGAATCATAGAGATCTGACCGCCATTGGAAACCACATGAAGAAACAATTTTCTCTCCTTCCAAAACAGCACACTGAAATTGAAGCCTGAAACCGAGCAGTGAACAAAAACCAAAATGTGTACTCATTAGCTGAGCTTCTCCATCCTARTCCCAGAGAAAGCCAAGGAGTTAATGGAACAGGTTTTCTGGGTAGTCTTTAATTTATGTATTTGTGGAAAACGGAACCAATATGGTGCAGCCAAACTTATTTCTGATGTTTCCTAGCATTGAAAAGTTTTATTGTACACCATTACTGGAATCACTCAAGTTGAAAGGGACCTATAAGGATCATTAAATCCAACTCCTTGCTCCTCACAAGACTCCAGAATTGAACCATATGACCAAGAGCACTGTCCAGACTCTGAGTTCTGTCAGGTTTGGTGTCCTGACCACTCTCCTGAAGAGCCTGTTGTTGTGACCAACCATGCTCTCAGGGAATAACCTTTTCATATTGTCCACATTGAACTTTGGTAATGTTGTATTAATATTAATCATTAAACTGGACCGTATGCTAATCAAACCAGAAGGTCATTCAAGTCAATCTTCCCGTGTCGATTAGACTTTTCCAAGCAACAACAGCAAAACCAGCCAATGCAACATTACATTGTCATTTCCTTTTACAGACAATAAAACCATGGGCATCTGCCTGCCAGCTGTCTGGTCTGCAAAGCATCAATGTGTAAAATGAAGGACTGCTCTTCCTCTTTTATCAGTATCAGAATTCTTGCATTTATCCCATTCTTTATCATCTCTGGAGGGGTATGACCTTGAGGAGACAGTCTCTTAGGTCTGTCTGGTCACTGTCACCATACTGGACAGCTATGTAATTAGCAACTCCCCTTGAAAGAATGTAGACTTGGTGTTGATGAAAGAGAGTTCATAGTTTGACCCAGTTAGCGAGGGACATTTAAACAACCCAGAACCAAGAATGTTCCCAGAGGAAACAGCTGTGACATTTTTTCATTTGATTATGCAGCTGCTCTGACTTTCTGTTCCCTCAATCACTCTCATAAAACTGGAAAAAACCTTCCAGATTCCAGAGAGACAAATGCAAGTGAAAGGGATGCTTCACCCATGAAGCACTTGCTTTTCTGTTTTGTGTTTGTTTAAAGGAGAAAAGTGTACCACATCTTATGTGGATAGCAGCTCTGTACTACTACTAGATATTTGATTTGCTAAGCAGTGCCATCATTTGTATTTCCAGAACTAAAAGCCTGCTAAAGATTGCAAGGAAGCAAATCCATAGAGAAACTAAATGGGAAGGCCACTCCTCTGGCATTTTCGTAATATTGCAGTAATTTCACTCCATTAGGCATTGTGTGCCTAATAGGTATGCATTGGTTTTCTCATTACATTATTTTTACTTCTCACGAAACCAGTGAAATATGTCCAAGTTAGGTAAGAAAGATTTTGTTTGATCTATCATTTCCTTGAAATATGTGCCCTGATTTAAACCATAATTTTGAAGCTAAATATTTGTAGAGCACTAATGTTGTGCTCAGGTTAGAATGTGAAAGGCAGAGAGGCATATCCTGGAGATGTGTATAACCCAAGTGCATGGTTCAGGAAGCTCCTTTCATTTGTGCTTGTTCCAGCTGAGAATGTAACTTCTAAGTGCATATTTGAAGTAGCTCAGGAAATGTACATAAGGAGGCAGAGCATGAGCTTTGCAAACGGCTGTAAATACTGAAAATAGGTCAAATAAATCATATRTTCTGTATGATTCTCAGCTACATGTCTAGAATAAAGTTAATTTATAGATTGAGATCTCTAAAATTTAGTCATTTGTATTACAGTGCGTACTCTAAGTACTGTGGTTTCAGTGATGATCTAGTCAACAGTAGGGCCTAGAGAGGTATCCAACCCAGTCTAAATTAAACATCTGCATTTGGTCTACTGAACTGATTTCTACATAATTTGACTACAATGGGAGAAGTGCCATTTAAATCACATAATCATCACTTGCTGTGTAGGCCCTCAAAAGTGTGTTTCAAATTCCAGAGCTGAATCAAACTCCTTAAATATAGTGAGATGAACTTGCCCACAGTGGCAGAGTATTAAACTGTTCCCTGATAATCTGGAGATGTGAATCTGCTCATCTGGAGCTAGGCACTTATTCTGTGGAGCAATGAAACACTTCATTCAACAGAAGTATTTCTGTTGTATTGGAATCACCAGTCCATCAGAATAGGGCTACTCTGATCTTTTGCATCTGAATTATTGACAATGTCAATAGTCAATGTTTAGCATAAGGAGATGCTTATCCCTCTACTTTATCTATGCCACCACTGTCTCAGTAAAGAAGGTTAGTATCCATACCAGCATGACTCCTCTTGTGAACCAGAGCAAGAGATCAGGGCATTGAATGTTGCAGGACCAGATTAACTTTCTCTTTTGCATCTGTGTATGGCATGGTTTGGTCACTGTCTCCCAACACACTCTCTCTTTATGGTACAGGTACCTGGAAAAACTACCTTAGAAAACCTATATTCTGAATCATTTGAAAGCTTTATTTTAATAAGCACAGGGAAGAACTGAGTTATCCAAGTATTTAGACTTATCCCTTGACTCTAATGAGTTTATTCATGCAGTATTTCCTCATGATCTATCTCTCAGAGCAAGGTTCTGACAGCTGTCTTCTTCCCAATGCCAATCTGACTGATGTGGAATAAGGAAGTACAGTTTAGTGCTATGATGGGAAATATTTCATTTTCTACAGTACTTTCTCATGTTGGTGTTTCTTAGCAATCTTCTTTTTCTCCCCAAATCTGTCATCTCATGGTCTGTTTTATTTTCTTGCAGGAGGAACTGGGCATTGCTTGTGAGTTACTGGAGTCAGATTTCCTGAAGTGCAGTGTGGGATTTCCTTTCATGAGATCCAACTCTGGGGTAATGTTATGACATCTGCATTTGCAGAGTAATGGTTCATTCACCTCTGTCTCCAAGGAGTGGCTGGAAAGTCAACTTCTCTGTTAAATGTCTGTTACTGATACTTTCTCTAGCTTTCTAACCCAAGCCTTTCGAAGTTGTAGAGACTAACTATCCTCTTTCCCACCAGCCAGAGCTAATGACAGTGCCTTGGGCACTGCAATAAAATGCCTTTGAAAAACACTTCAAGGCTTGCAGCTGTGAAAAATTTACATATTTCCTCTGCAGAAAATTAAGAAATGACTCTGTCTTACTTAAGTTGTCTTATTCTGTGGGGTTTTTTTTGTCTTCTTTCACATTGAAGTTCAGCTGGATTTATACAAATTATAATGAAAATGTTCTAATGTCTTTTTCATGTTATGGTCTTCTGGTAGTTTTTTTTAAAAGAGGGTTTTCTTCTGTAATAGAAGATGCACTCTCAGAATGTTTAAAAATCCAGCTGGGTTCTTTCTGTCACTAAATTGATCTATATCAATGAACAACCCAGAAAGGTGAGAAAATGAGGAATAACTTCAGGATGACCTGAAAAAAATTAGTCTGAAACTTTTCAGAAAGTTTGAATTTCAAAAGCTAATCCTTTCAATTTGAATTGATGTATCCTTTAACCCAACATAAAAGTTTTTGTTTTCTGTTTTTTTACTGACTACTTCATAGTATTTTGAAACATTTAAAATATTTTAAACAGAATTGAAAAAATAAATACAGTAGCAAAATATTATCTAGAATTTAAGAAGTAAGCCACTGAAATTACAATTAATTTGTAATTTGAACTGTTTCACTTAGCCAAAATCTGTTTTGGAGTTAGACAGAAGAGTTACATGGAGAGGTAATTCATCAAAGTAAAATCTTTATTTTGAAATTAGCGTCTCTTTTTACCCATTATGATGGTGTCCTGAATGCTGCTTTAGCTTGTGCCACTTCCTCCAAGCCTCTGTGCAGGCCTGTGATGTGATCTTTATCCCCCAAAAGATCCCTTCACCAGTAAATAACATATAGATCAGTGCTGAGCTAGTTTCAAGTAGTGATCCCTTTGTACTGGAGACTCATTCCCAGGCAGGTGATGTCCTCAAGAAATACCTTTGAGTGGTCAGTCTGTAAATATCTCTTAATGAAGAAAAACTCAAACTCTATAGTATTTGAAGAGAAACAGGAGTGCTAAGATTTAAAAGCTAATCTGCAGTAGAGGAAGCTCTCTTACATATATCAAACTATGCTACTTTTGTACAATTAGACTAGTAAAATATAAATGAAGTTTCAGAATAAGTACATTTTGAAATAATATGCAGTATCTCTAAATGCTGCTTTTTCTTTGCGCAGTATGAATTCAGTGTGATCTTTGACACAAGCCACTTGACTGGGCAGGAAGAAACACTYACCTTCCTTGTCACTGCCCTAAGGTAAGGGGACCTTTATAGGTCTGGATGACTTGGATATTCTTTGTTAAATGAAGTATGCATACCATAAGCAATTGTGCTTGACAATTACATGATTGATATTAGCTGTAGATACATATATGTGTAATGAATTAAGTTTAATTACTGGGGCTAAATGCATGTATTTTGGTGATGCAGAGGAACTATGGGTTRAAGCTTCCTGAAAAATGAGGCATACATAGATTTAATTTGCCAGGTGGTTGCAATTCTGAAGGATCATCCTGTATTCTCACAGTTGAAGGGCTCTTGTGTTTTAATGGGCATTTCTTTGGGCCCTGTATCAAGCTCAGCTCAGCTATGGCTGATGATCAATACCAGATAGACCCATTTGTTCTAGCATTTGAATGAAACAAGCATGCTAGGATGTAAAAAAAAAGATAAATGCTTTAATCAGATGGCCAAAGATCCCACTGTTAGGTTCAAAAGCTGTGTATTTGTTTTTCCCCCTCTGGATCTTCAGTGAGTTGTGACAGACTGTGGAAAATATCTGAGTAGGGTACTTTCCAAAGGGCACTTGAAATAGGCATTGAAGTAGGGTAACTGCCAAGTATGCATGGATAGGCATTATATCTTGGGCAGAATAAAAGGTGTGACACATGCTTTGTGCCTCTTAAGATGATGTACCACAAAGAAACAGACTCCATGAATGATTCAGTCACAATCACTGTCTAGGTCTGTATGGGAGCCAATGTGCAGCTGCATTAACATTGGCCATTAACTTCTGCTTTGATGTGCTGGGTGTTTGATTAGTTCCTGCTCCCATTTACTGTGTGAATGGGCCAACTTCATATCCCTATTAAGATGTTCAGCCTGAATTCTCCTCCCCAATGGAATGACACCTCTACAAACAGCTGGAGATGAGAGATGAGATGTAGTAGCTGCTGAGTGGCTGGTCTCATAAGGCATAGCCTGTAGGCAGGAACAAGTTCCTGCAGCATGTGGGACTGGTGTGAAATACTGAAAGTGAGATGTGTCACCATGTCTTGCATGTTAGCCTAGTTTTATTCTGCATCAGTTCATCCTGTGTTCAATGGTTCTCAGTCAGGGACATCAGTATCTGCTAGCTGACTGCCAGTTGGTGCAAAGATGAGTCATCAGTGCTTGAAATTTGCCCAGCCAGTGTTTTTCACTTCATTTATCTGCCTTGGATAACACAGAACTTCCCTCTGTAACCTCACTTCTCATACTTCTGTGCCCCACCAGTGAGAAGGGTTAGTCTGTGCCTGTAGAGGAGTAAAGAAATACAGTAATTTTTACACATAGAACAAATGCTCAGAGGTGTTATAAGAAAGTTTCTCATTGTAGAAGATTGAGAGAGCACAGTTATCTTTTGAAGGATTCAGCTGAACCTCCAGAGAGAGTAGTGCAGGTCTCCATGCTGATTACCCTCATTTTCTCTGTGACTTTAGACAAATTGCTCAATTCCCCCTCACTGTCAAATAATAAAATCTTTCTACCGTAAGAGTTACAGGGAGCCCTGAGGTAAAGTCAGTGATAAGGAAATGCTGTGCTGTGGTCAGACTGCAATAGGCAAAGACATTTTTTTCCATGCAAAACTGGAGCTAGTCTGGCAGAAATAGCTGAACAGAGAAGCTATGTCATGCTCTCATGGGAAAGCAAGTTTTGCCCTTCAAATGTCCACTTTAGCCTGTCCCATGTAGCTGCAAATTTGACAGTAAAATCTGTGACAAGAGACTGGTTCAATATTGGGACAATTGGAGAAAGAACATAAAAACATTACATAATGGTGCTCTTACACTATTTCCTTTTTATTAAAAAAAAAACAAAACAACAAACCTTCATTGCTTCCAGGTGTGATGTGTTTTTCTAGAGCTAGATTCACTGAGTTACATTCTCCTTTTTTGACAGTATCTTTACTCCATTGGAAACAGATTAAGAACGTATTCATGAACCGTGTATAGAATTCTGCTTGCTTGTTCTATTTGCCACCATGGTATCTTGGTATTTATGTTGGATGAGAAATGTCTCTATTTTGGACTCTTCTGTGAGCCTGTTCAGAGGAAAAACTAAAGTGGGGCCTTTCCCCAGGAGTTCAAAGTTTGTTGGATTTTCTTTCTGGGCCATTGTTTTGTCAGCAGACATAGGTAATGTCAGTTGCAGAGAGCTGAGCTGTATCTAAGCATGTATGTAGCCAGCAAGCTCTATTTTTGTAATCTGAGCAACTCATGATCTGCATGGTAATCACTTGAGATGTTACTACTAGGGAAAAGTGATTCCAGAGTCACTGCTGAAGAAATTGGAAATATGTGAAACATATCTTTCAAGATTGTTCTTCTGAGCTGTTACCCAATGAACAGAGTCATCAGTGTCAGAATAGTTACAGGTTTGCCTGTTAGACATGCATTTCAGGAACCTTTCCCAGACTTCATACATAAAGTGTTCACACTGAAACAAACTGACTCAAATAAGAGATAATTGCTCACATTTTCCTTTCTTCTTTCTGATTTTGACCAGCTGACACAATGCCTTTGACAATGTAAAGTAGAAGTGCTTTTTTGGCAACTAAGTGAAGGAAGAGAGAAAAAAGAGAGGGTGAAATTGTGGAGAGGTTTTGGCCAGTTCAGTATGAGGGTCTCACCCAAAAAGCTGCTTGTAGTGGCAGAAAATTGGTGCTAATGGACAGTGCAGGTACATTGAAAGCATTGTTTCATTTAGTGAGTCAAGATCCCCTGTGAGGTGTGTATATCTCTCACAAACTGACGTGCGGTCAGACTGAGGGAAAATGAACCCTTGTATAGAAATCTGCATGTTCTTGTTTCTCAGAAGAGCAGCCACAAAACACACACTTTTTGTGTGTACCCTCTCCAAGTTTGGGCGAACATTCTTACTGAGCTAATACCACACAAATAGAGATGCTCAGAGTAGAAAGCAGAGAGATGGTACCTGTGAAACTGTGATACATTGYGAAGACTGTCCACCTGCAGTATGTTTATTTTTCCTTTCTGGCATAGTGGAAACCTAGAACGCACTGAATATCTGCATGATAATACTATAAGCCTGTCAGTGCCCCTGATGCATGAAGTGGATTCATCCATCAATGGGTAAGTACTAGTCAACAAATGAAAACAAAAACAATGATTAATAATCATCATCCTAAGAATAAAATCTGAGTGCCTTCCAGTGAAAAAAATAATTCTTCTCTATGTTCACATGTAGTCAGACTGTTGTTTTTTTCATGTTTCCTAGACTCTGGACATTCAGACAACATCATTTGATAGCTGAAATTTTATTCATTCCAACACTACCTCAGTGTTGTTCTCACTACTTCCTAATTAATGTTAATTAGTTACCATTACATTTATAGTAGGTATTTTAGTGATTGTGTTTGAATTCAAGTGATGTCGTAAATCTGATGGACCTTAAAATTAAGTTTAAAAATAACAACTAAATCACATGTTGTTCCTTAGGACATCTCTTCAAGGAGATGGTTAGGAGTCACCAGGCCAAAGGTTACGGTCAAATTTTCTGAAATTGGTGAAGTCTGGCTGTTTGCATTTGTGTTTAATTTCACAAACAGATTTTGTTTCTGCTTCTGTTAATTTACCCATTTCTTTTCCCTAGTTTGTGAGGCATCTAACTACCAACKGAAGAGCATCACTCACCCTTTGACTGAAATACTTCCATAACATATAGCCATTGTGTCCTCTCCCTAAGGCTGCATATGTGCAAGTTCCTGCCTTTGTATTTGGGGGTCTTCTACTTGGCATCACAAGCCTAGAATGAAAGATTTGTGGTCAGTCTCAACAGTCAGACCATTCTCTAGCATAAACAGTGCTTGAAGCTAAAYTGGGGGAGACCTGGTCATTGAAGATGAATTAGCACTCATGCAGAGTGAGAAAGTTGACATTAGTTCCTAAACTGGGGAAGCGAAAGCTCATCAATAGTGTCCCCAGAAGGTCAGTGCCTGTTTTAGCCACCATCTATGGCAGTCTCCAGGCTACAGGTTGGCATCAGTAGAAGTCAAATATTCCCTTGGCCACTATGCTGCATGTGTAGAAAAAAGGTACCCCTGCACTGACATGTGATTTTTTTGAAAAGCTGAATAAACTCATATTCATGGCCTAGACTGGGTTTTACCTGATAAAGTTGATTTCAATCTTGTTGGATARAAATACGATCCTTAATTACTACCACAATAGTCAGAATGAGTAAAAGGTATGTTTGAGCCTGCTCAGAGAAAGGAAGTACGCTGTCAGACCTCACAAGATGACTAGCAAGGACAAAAATCTCCTCTAATTTGAGAGTATAGTCTCAGCAGTATGTTCTGAAATTGCTTCTTGATGCTTTTATATAATGATGGATTTTTGTTCAGCTTTACAGATATGAATACTTTCATCTGTCTTTAGATCTCTGTTATCTACAGAATACTGCATACCAAGACATAAAAAAATTGGTTTCTCTCTTTTCTCTTCAGAATATACTTTTTTAAAGCACAGGGATTCTGAATTTATAAGCCCCACCCCAGTTCCTGTGTAGACTATTTTTTTTTCTTTCTCATAGACAAGGCTTAGTTAATTGAAGTTCACAGAAAAGTTCAGCTGCCAGAGAAAAGTTGGGTTTATTGGAGGGCATGTTCCCAGGCATAGTAATATTAAATAGTACTCTTTTTTTTTTTGGACAGTATCTTTTTGAAGCTTAATTTATTAGCATAATTGTCCTACATTTGAATGTAGAGAAGCAAACTTCATTCCTGGTTATAAATAGCCCAGAACAGCTTGTACTTTATTTGGGAGAAGCCTTCTGGCACAACACTGTAAATGGGAGGAGAAAATCTATCTTTCACTGTTTCCCCTAGCAATCCCTGTCATAGGATGCAGGCAGGAAAAAAAGGAAATGTACATAAACAGGCTTAAAATCCTGTCTCAAAATGCTCTGACTCCAAAGGACAACCTGGGAAGGGAGCAGCGTTGCAGGCAATAAATGAGGACTAAGGTTTGTCTGAAATGACCTAGGACCTTTTCCAAACGGTGGAGCAGCCTGAGATTAGGAGCCATAAAGTATACTTAAAGCACTCCTAGTCCTATACTGCAGGATTTTCAGGTACTGTGTTGTGCTTTCAAGTAATTTCTGATAAAATCATACTGCATTATACTGGGTGATTAGATGATGAGTGGTTGAGAAAACTTGGACTGCTCCACTCTAGCTGAAAGCAGGTTATCCCCCTCTACTCTTTCCTTTAACCATTGCTAATCATAAAGGTAGTAAAACTTAGACAGCTAACCAAGTGTTTATTCCTGAAATGCCATGTAAATATTAAATAAATTTGAAATGTTGCTTTAATGAATATGTATCTTAAAGTACTCCTCTTAGATACTGTTTCTTCAGATTAACTTGATAGTGCAATGATTTCCTGTGTTAATAGAAGCTAGGGACTTGCACGAATCATCTATGGCAGGGGACCAGAGAGGAGGTTTTGTGATAGCAAAGGAAAAAATGGGATAAGTAATCAAAATAAGTCTGCTTCATTGATGGGATGTTAACTCAGGTCAGCTGAGATGCTGCTTGTGTAGTCTAATGTTGCCAAGAGGAAATCAAATCACAAAAAATAGATTAAAGTAGAATGGTCCCATAGAATTTCCCATGACTAGAAGGCAAGGGATGCAGTTCAACTAGACACAAATATAGTTTATTTTGGTCACAAACTCAGCTTGCTATATCTGTGTCTTGATCTTTCAGAGAAGTCTTCCCTACTTCATTTTTCTACGGTGATTCTGTGGAAACGTCCAACTTTGTTCAGTTGGAAAACCATGAATGCCTCTTCCAGTCTCTCAACTTTACACTGCAGGTAAAACTCACCCTTATTTTGACTGGTTTCCTGCTTGACAGCACTTTCTTGTTTTGTATCTATTTTATTCTGAGTGTGGTATGCAGGATTTTGAGTCACAATCATGGACAGAATGGAAGCTTCCTTCGGACAAGGTTTATAAAGAAGACCCTGCCGTTGAGTCATGAGGATCAGAGGGGACTCCTTTGCTTTCTAAACTCCTTCTGAGAGAGTAGTATAGGTACAACTGGATCTAATTCTAGCCCCAGACTTGGCCAACAGTTTTTGTCTAAAGGTTATATAGGTATATAGATCCTTTAAGTGACTTTTTCCTGCAGGATTAAGGATGACAAAACAAATATATTTACATCAATAACATAAAATATTTATTTAAATTGATGATGATAATGACTAGACTAAAATACTTTAATCAGAATTATTTACCACATGATATAGATTGTTTTACTAATAATATTTTGCACTGTTTATTAAATCAGTAATTAAAAAACTCACTCATACCAACAACCATGGGCAAATCTCTTTAGCTCAGCCTCAAGGAAAAGCCTTGAGGGACACCTCCACTTAAGGGAGGAATCTCCACGCTCTCCTGGAAGTGGTATGTTAAAAGTCCATGCTGGTAAAAAGCGGGACTGGGCTTTTATAGTATAAAGTGATCAACTGTCACTCGTGTTTCTAGGCTACCAATGCTAGCTTAGCAGCTTTAGACAAGCTATCAGTATGTGAAAAATGAGATTCACTTTCTTGTTAAAATTTAAAGCGTTTTAATAAATGACAGTAGGGTACATAAAAGCAAAGGAATACTGCACCGGGTGCTTGGCGATCTGCCAGAGGCACACCGGGTATGGATAGAAACTTCTTTAAATACATTCTGTGTTACATCAGCCTAATGCCTATTCATAGACATTTATGCATATTTAAACCTGTCTTGTTGTTTTATGCTCCTGGGGTCATGTTTGTGTGACCCCTCTTCCACAACTTCAGCAGATGGTCCTTGTTGATAGAGAAGTGTCCATAGCAGGGGCCCCTAATGGGTCACGAGACCCCTGGCCTGTCCATTGCAGATATAGTTGTCTGAATGTTGGGGGGTCCCATCAGCCAGGTTCCTTTTGCCGCAAACAATGGATGTTTTTACAAGTTTTTCCGACCAGATATTTTTCCCCAAAGCCTCTGTTCCTTCCACCCCCACCCTTTTGCTGTCAGGGTCTGTGCTGGTCTGTTAGCTGATACCCCTGGGGCGATGGCCTCCCCACCCGGAAGGTGCTAAGCATCTTTGTGAATGTATGCCTTCTTTTCCCCAGCTCTGAGCTGCTTCTAATCTTTTAAGGACCATTGGCATCAGGGCCCCATTCAGGGTTTTTTTGGTGACTTTCTTTGCAGCTTTTGGATAGTTTTGCTATAATATAAAAAACATAGCTAAACTTCTTCTACAAATAAGGCAATATTATATCATGATGCACAACACATAGCATCTACCTTTAATCTCTGCGAGAACTAACACTACAGTGTGTGCTGAACACGCACATAGCACTCATCTTAATATCTGCGAAAGCCAACACTATAATATGTGTTTATAACAAGTGCTATCGCTTGTTGATTCTTTTATCAGAAATATTGCCATCACGTCCTTGCTGGTACCAGTTTCTGTCAGGAAATGCTGTCTGAATGTTTAACTTTGGGATTGATGAGTCAGTCTGATCTCAACAGTCTTTAAAGCCAAAAGCAGTGTGATGACCTTTTTGTGTCTGTCATGGATGATGCCTTTCACAAATAGTGTTTAGTTTGAACTGTTTTACCCTCACTCAGAGAGAGCATCCTGCTACAGTGCTGTACAATGCATTCTTGATTGCATACCATATTTTCAGTGTGAAGGGATGGCATATGTCCTTTATTTGAATGTGTTATGTCAAGAATTGCGAACTGGGCATCTCACTTCCATAGGAATAAAGCCGCTACCATTTGTTTCTCTTTTACCTTTCTTCATATGCTGAGTAAAAAAGCCTAGTTACTCAAACCCTAGTTACATCCACATCTTGGATGAAGTCACAGATTAGAAGTTGGGGAGTAATTCTTTTTAGTGGCAAGGCCATTGAGCAGAGGAGTGAGTATCCGTTATCCATGAGAGCAAACACATGTCTGTTCTAGAGATTCAGGCTTGCTAAATGCCCCAGTATGAAAAATTGATAGCACTACTGATGAGAGTACAGAACAGGGAAGAAATGAGGACACTAAAAAGACGGGTGTGAGAAGCTTTCAATAAAATACTTCGTAACATCTCAGCATTGTTCAAGTATTATCTGTATTTACACCACATGGGAGTTAGATGGGTTTCTGATGTGGTAAAATATATGGATGGTTTATTATAACAAACTCTTGTGATGTGCCCAGAATTTACTGGCGCTGTGTTTAGCTGCTGTAACTGCATCTATTACAAGCCCTATAAATTGGTTTTGACCGCAAGATGGAACTAGGGAATGATAAGTGATGCACAGGTAGGTTCATTTATTGTGAAAAATAGTGTTTTGTCATTTTTCTTTTTGTTTTCCTGGACATGAATGCCACTCAGCTTGTAATGAGTGACATGTCTGCCTCCATGGACAGACTGTGATCCAGAGCAATTAAGCCCCCACTGTCATGMAGTGCCCTTAGCTATTTACTGAGAAGGACTGAAAGCAGGATTTCAGGACATGTAAGCTTTTGTGAACCAGGCTGTTAATTCTTGTGACTCTGATTTCCTTCTTGGGGATTTATAGGTCTTCTCCGCTTTCTCCCCTTCATATCCAGTGATTGGTTAAACAAGATAAAGAATGGGTGCACTGATGCTTTAGATGAAAATTTTCAGTAAAGCAAAGTGATAACAAGGAAGAGAGAGAGATTCTATATATTGGCAGAGCCACCCTTTGTCATACTCATGCTCTTGTCTCTCATGCACACACTTGGCTGTTTCAATATCTTTTTTTTCCATATGGGAGTAGAAATTATGTCATATCAAGTCACAGATCTGCTCTGCAGTAATGGGGTAAACCTTATAACTATGTGTATCAGAGATAAAAGGCCAAGTTTCATAATGGACAAAGCATTGTTCGTGTCACTCTTTGCTTAATTAGTTCAAATTATTTGCCTGCCCTGTATTTTACTTCTTCAGATGGAGAAAAGTAAAAGTTTCTTAATCAAGAAAAAAAGATAAGTTACAAAAATATGTGATTTTATAGCAGTTTTTATATGTGAAAAACTGTACTAGGTCTGATGTCAACAAGGAAACAGAAGTATACATCTTTTTTTTTAGTAATAACATGTGCAATGAAAATGCGTTTTCTGCAATAACTCATATCTGATCTTAGTGAGATAATCAAGGTTTGTAAAACATCTAACATGAAACATTATGTTTGCATTTCGTGCAGCATTTATTATACTCCATTCCAGTGAGATTTCTCCCCCTGCCTGGAGCCTCAGGATTTTTGAAAGAATTTGGCACTGCAAATCAGTTTTGTTTATCAGTCAGGCATTTCTTCTAATATAAATAGTGTCTGAAGAATGAAAACCTATTGGTTTTAATATTTGTACTTTACTGGATTAACAGCTGCATGTTACACTTTTTGACAATAGGATCTCAGTGTGAATAATTATTCTAATGGGCTTAATGTGTTTAATGTTTTTAATGCATTTATATTTATGTTGTTAGAAAGAACAAAAAAACATTTTCCTAATTAAAAAATGTAGATAGAAATAAGAATAACAAAATAAGACAACCATATTGTAATTTAAATTTTTCCATGGACTATTCCTCTTCAGCAAAACCCCATAAATTTTAATTTTGGAATTTTCACTGGATACATTTCAGTGGTGGGTAGGAAATTCTTTGAAATTTTGTTGAAATCTTGGGGGGGGGGGGGGGGAGATAGAATGCTAATATTTTCCACTAAGAGTAATTTATTTTAAAATGTCAAAACTTGAATGGAAATTTTTCACTTGTATTTCCTCTCAACTCACTCAGAAAACCCGCAGTAGTCACAGTAATTGTTTGGCTTCTGCTCCACAAGGAAAACATATGCAGGATATTATGCAGTGGTTACCAGATGGAAATGAGAATGTTAACTGAGACAGTAATATTTTTTGCAACCTACAAGATTTTATTACCAAAACACTCCAAGTACTAGCAGTGTCTCTGTATACAAAATATAAGTCTTATGCTGTTTGTGCTGATGTCTGGCAATTATCCTTCAAAACTGCTTCTCCTTTGATATACAAGCTGTGCCTGAAGATTGTTAGGTAAGCTAATCCTTTGACTTCATTCTGACACTGGAAAAAGTGAAATCTTAGTCTGCAGACATTGAAAAACCTGCAAAGTACTTGTATTTCTTCAAATTTACCGATACTCACAGCTCCAAATCTACAGTAGGTTTCCCATTTATGAGAMGTTATGTATGTAATTTTATTTGTATTCATTTGTTCTCTTACAGGTTTACAATGCCGGACCAAGTACTCTTCCTGGAGCCTTTCTTGACATTTCAATTCCAAACCGCCTTTCTGCCACTGGGGCCGAAATATTTCATATTCAGCAGATGGTGGTGAGTATGTTAAATGCGCTCTGAACCCAGAGAGGCACTGAGAGCTATTGATGACTAAAACAAAAGAAGTCCACCAAAACTCAGTGAATCAGTTGCTTTTTAAGATAATCAAAGGTTCTTTGTATCTAGGATCGTAAATAGCATCTAGCATCGCATCGTAAATAGCTGAAACCCTCCAGCTATTGACTGCTCTCCTTCACCTAGGGCAAAAACTGGTTGTATGTTCCTGGTTTCCTACAATGCCACGTAAAACTAGGTGAGGCTAATACTGAAGGAAATATAGAGAACACTTCCGCATGGAATCATTGAAATCATGGGGCTTTCAGGCAAAGATATGGGAAAAAGAAATAATGGGTTTTTTTACTATTGTATGTAACAACGTAAACAAGCAACAACAATGGCAGCAACAACCAAGAAAACCAGAAACCCAGCGACAGCCTCCCCATCGCTGTCCCGCCCTCCCCTTTGGTGCAGTTACAGTCACAGCCGGCAGGGGCGCTGGTGGCTCCTGGCCGGGCAGGGTGGGTGTGATGRTTGCCACGCACGGGTTCCGGCTGGTTTTATCTCTCTCATGCTGCAATGGTGGATGCAGCCGGCAGAAATGGATGGAGAAGGGGCTTCCTTTACGAACTCACAGAGGGGGAGGCGATCCTGGTACCCCTTCTGGATAGCAAATTAGTTGGAGCAAGAACTTCGGAAGAGCAAGCTGGGCAGCCGGGGTTGAGCAAAATCCTGGGGTTGTAGATGAGATGTATCAGAAATTCGGCCACTGTAGCTGGAGTCACAGCACTTCCCGGCATGGCCGAAGCGGTGGTCGCCTGGCTCCCGAAAACAGCAAGAGAGAGAATTTCCCTCTCTCCCTCTCTAGAGAAGGAGGAGGGGAAGGGGCACAAGGATCCCAGGGTTTCCCCTGGTGCACCCGAGTAGATACTGAGGAATCCCTTGTTGAGGTTGGTATTAACAATGTCCCAAAGCAATGACTGCCCTTAAAGAAGCTAAGGCTCACCTATGGCAAGGGAAAAGATAGGACCCTGGGCTCCGGCCACACCTGCTCCACTGTCCTCCCTCAAGTCTAAGAGGGGCCAGAGCACCAGGAGCTACCCCCCACTTCCCTGCTCCCAAAATTATCTATGCTCTCCACAGAAAGAAAACAGTCAGATAGGGGAATGCCTCCAGGAGTTCTCCCCCCTGGGCTTGGCAACTTCTTTTGTCTTCCTTAAGCACCAGTTATTATGCTAAATAATCGGTCGTTATTATCTCTTAGCAACATATATGGGGAAAAATTCCCCAGGAGGGACAACAAAAGGAGAAAGCCTAACCTCCAACAGGACTATTCCAAGTCTCTGCAGATTGTCTTAGACAAGACATTTGCTTTCATTAGAATGCTTTAATTAGGTGAGGTGTGGTGCCCACCAAGTGGGCAAGGACTTGTTCCTAGGCGTAGATGTCATTATTTCTGCATAAGTTATCTGTAAGGACAGGGTGGACTATATGATTTTGAATAGCTGTTTAAAAACCAAGACAAAACACCTAAATTTTACACTGAACTTGCTTCTCATTGCTGTGGTTTACTAGAAGAAATTCCAGCTGGGTGGTGTGGTCTTGTGCATTGTGGTAATAAATGCTTGCAGGGTTTGTATTGCTTTCCCCCAGCAACAGGTTGCATTTCCTTGAACATTATTTGACTGAATTGTACTTTAAAATTTATCTTTGTAAAAATGTTAAACTGCTGATGTGAGACCTCTTTGCATTGCAAGTAGTAGGCAACTGTTTTTATGAGAAATGTCTGCCTGATACACTGGCATTCCAGTAATTTTGACTACTGATTTTGGGTATATGGTCAGTAGAAGTCTTTTACATGACTTCCTAAACACCCCTAGAAAATTAATAATTGTTAGATAGGCAAATCCTGTCTGGGACAGTGGTAATCCGTGCTTTAGAGATACATAATTGAAACACCAATGTTTTGCTTGACCTCACACAGGAAATTTGTGTCAGGAACCAGGCACTGAAACAAAGTATCACGAATCTTACTAGAACCAATGTATYCCAAATCTTACTGTTGAAACAGAAAAAGCAGCCCCCTCTCTTTCCTATTGCTTCTTTCCCAGTGAGTTTGTATTGACTGAAAAGGGAACTAAAATCATGGAGCTTTTCAACTTTCCTTAGGACAAATATAATTAAACAAAGGAACATAAAAGGAGATGAACTTTAGAAAATGATTTAGAACAGCTACTTTTCTGAGAGGTTTTTTGTAAGCATGTTCATTAAATATTTCAAGCTTTTGCTTGTTTTGAACTTCCCAGAACCTTGATTACAATAGATAATAAGGTAATAGAAAACAGTGCAGGTGTTTCTGTAATTATAACTTTATTCATGTAATCCAGCCATTCTAGCTGTCAGTGTTGGTGAAACTTTGAGAATAGCCATCATTAATACAGAGAATTGGGAATTGTCATTTATCTGTAAAATACACTACGGATACAGCACTTGGGATTTGATGACATTATGGTTTKTATTTTAAAGCTAGTAATTCTACTGCCTCTTCTCTGACGCACAGTAAGGCAATGAAATTTACAAGTCAAAATGCATAGTTAAACCACTAGTTTGTCTCAAATACACATAAACCACACAAGAGAGTTTCAAGAGCATACTCCTTCATGTTGTGTCGAGTGATTTAGTCTCTCAGGCACAAAAATTAATAGCAAGGACACAGTCACACACTGGAACTATGTGTATCTCTGGGAGGTGTTAATAGGATGTATTATCTGCGGGTCTTAGAGGAAATGGCAGCCCTCATGCTTCCTCTGTTCCTGCTGTTCTGAGCTTTTGGCTTTATTGCAAAAACTGTTTTAACATTTTCTTCAAGAAAAGAGGAATTCTGATCATGGAGATATTTTGACATTTGGAGTTCTGCCTTAGAGATGTTCAGATGCAATTCAAGGGCTATTGGGAACAGCACTGCAGTTTCTGCAGCACTTCCCCCAACAAAGCCCCCAATAAAGAGAATAAATCAACCAAAAAAAAAAAAAAGCCAGAAGTAAACAAAGAAAAAGGGTAATTGGAAGAAAACTGTGAACTTCCTCCCTATTGAAAATGTTTAAATAAAAGGAGATGCTAGAAATTTTCAAATAATTGTAGCTAGGGAATTTCACCACTGACATTGGTTTTACATAGTAAATACTCAGATTCTGCAGTGATAAATGATATTTTGAAGCACATAAATCAAAACAGTAGCTGTTTGTTTTTATGGATTTTTGTGTTTGCTTTCTTGCAAAGGCTAAAAACATGATAAATTAAATACCTCAGCTGGTTAGTAAAAGTGTTATAATAAAGTAGTATAGATGATGACATAGTAGATGTTCACACAAGCAGAGAAGTTAGTCTTATCACAGAAGTACATTTTTCACTCTTCAAGCCATTGATTATCTGTTCTTCCAGGAAAAAAAAACAACAATGTTCATTATATTGGTGTTTATTTTTTGTTYTGAACTGAAAGATCAGTAATTGCTTTTGTATATCCAGCTAGGGATGCACAAAGGCAAGAGAAGCACTACCTGACTTGCCAGCCAAGAAGCTGCTTTCTGGGATTTTCAAAAAGATTTTCACAATGGGAGTTCTTACCAGATTAACCAGAGTATTTCCTGAAGCTGTTCTTAAATTAGCAATGTGTCCAGAATTATTCTGGTGCTGGCTTTATGGAACTGGACCAGATCATTGTCTTCTGGTTTTATTTTATTTTCATTGAATGTAAATACAATTATGAGGGATTAACAGCTGGAAACCAAATTTGTCTGCTTGAACAGGATGATCCTCCTTCCTCCTCTGGAGTGATCAAGCAGAGCCTGTTTACGTGAATCAATACCAAGAATATAAAAAAAGTTGTTATTACTATCACTGAGATAAGAACCTTGTTGGAAAGTAAGATGCACATGTTGCAAGACAGGCTCTTCAAAGAGTATGCAATCTAGGCAATGAAATTAAAGGGAATTTGGAAGAAAGAGGAAGAGGGAAAGAAATACTGTTCTCAGTTTTTTTATTACATGCTCCCTCCTTGCATGTAACTCTTGATATCTAAGTCTAGCAATTACTGTTTTAGTAATTGCTACTAATAGAATATATTTAAATTACTATGTTCTCTTACTCTAGCTATTAATGGAGAGAGAGGCATAGAAGCAGCCCTGGAGAAGCACTTGCTAGCCTCCTCTGATACAGAAACCATCTAGTTTCCCTGATTTTCCCTAGGCTTCTGAACTTAGACCTTGAGAATTACCTACAGAGAGCAAAAAACGGGTTAAACCTCAGTCTTGTTACTCCTGTCCCCATTAACCTTGAGTGGGCCAGTTTGCCCAGGCTGCTAGTTCCTGGCCTAGCCCTTCCCATCACTTCTTGATTGGGTAGCAAAATAAAAGGTCCTTCTCTTGGAAGGACAAACAGAAGTACTCCAGTTGACTTATAATGTTTGGTATATTCATTTCACACTTCTTTCTTCTTTCTACATAGGTGAGACCTGGATTGTGCCTTTATGATTGCTAGGTAGCAGTAAGATTTAAAAAATAAAGAAAAAAAACCTGAATRAATTTATGGGGGAATTGAAGAGAATACTTTTCACAGGTCGCCTTTTAAGTTGAAGGCTACCTGAGCATGGGACTCTAGAAATGTTTGTCATGTTCCTTAGGGAAAGCTGTGTAAAGTAAACATTAATTTCTTCCTGTGAATGTTGAAAGAATAAAAATAAAGTAGAATCAGTCCCAGAGCCACGGGTTCTGGCTGATGACAGGTTACGTTTTTAAGGCCAGTTTTGTATAGGAGTCATGTAATCTTTCTTCCTGCATTTGCACAGTAATATCTGTAATTAGCAGAAAGAAGTTAAGGAGAAGAGTTAAAGCTTGCTGTCTCATTCCATGAAATCTCCCAAACTAATTGAGGTTTTTCTTCACTTACAGAATGAAAAAGAAATACTGTCAATTTTAAAACCTGATTTCTTCTTATTATCTGTA